ATCAAAAAATGTTTCAAGAACTGTGTGCTCAAGAAACAAAGATTGCAGCATGAAGGTACGTGTACTTTACATCCATGGCTACATCCACCAAGTGAGCTACTGCCATTGAGATGAACGGGAAAGCTAACAGATATATAACCAATATCTCCAGGTATGTACGATAAACTTCCTCGACTATAACCTCACTGTCTTTGGGAGGTGGTGAAGTAATGTTCCTCTATGCACACAAGAGGGCAGAGCAACTTCACTAATAAATGTGATGATTTTGTGCTTTGGAATCTGTCATGCATACCCTGGTTTTCTAAAGCAACGATGTAGAAGTTTTTCTGGATACCTTTTCAAAAATGTATCAAAAAGCCCCAAAAGCTCCAAAAAAAAAATCAAAGTCTTCAAATAAAGCATCTTTTGTTTAAGGTTTATGTAACAAGCCATCAATCAATTGCCAACCCATGCTTACAGTAGTTCAAATGTCTGCATCAAAGGCCAAATTTGTGTAACAAAAATAGTCATAGCTTCCAGTCTTATGAGTGATAATTTACTTCCAGATGTAACCACAAGACTGCTAATGTTGTTTTTCACTTTGCTGTTTAGGGTGAAAAAAAAAAGATTCTCTAGCCTGAGCTGAACTCTTTTTCATAAAAAAATAAATAAATAAATAAACTGTTGTAACCATGACATTTACAAAAAGATGCAATCCTGTGCTGAAAAATAATGCTAATTCATTATTACGCTAGTGCTGTTGTTGTCATCCTGTTTCTTAATAAAGCCTAATAGTTTCAAAGACAACATTGCCACAATTTCATTCAATGTAAAATTCTCTGTAGATGATTGCATGGTAAATTTGAAATGGTAAGTGGAGGGAGATTTATGAAAAGTCATGTCTTTTATATAATGCTTATGCTTTACATTGTATTACAGAGAAAAGCACATTAATAATAATTATGCGATAGTCAAAGTACTTTTCTATTACCATTGTTCAGCATGCTGTTAAGGATAAATTTTAATTTTAACACTTTTTTCATTAAAATTCCTACTCTTTGTAAGTCTGTTATGTTGGTCTTATGGAGAATTTTTCCCAATTTGGACATAAACAAGCGTTAAAATCAATGTATAGTCTGACAGATAAGGTCATAAAAAGCGATCAACTACAGAGGCATCTGAAAGGCCTTCTTTCATCTTCTTCTTCTCTCCACCTACAGTGTGTGGGTGTACAGCTGTCCCTTTTCTCCTGTCATCACGTTACAATGAACACTGAACACTGTGCATTCACTAGTGATCTTGTGGGATTCTTGCCAACGTGTAATCAGTGACTGCCTGGAAAGTGACAAAAGAGGAGAATCTAATGGCTGGAAGAGTGGGCTAATTACAGGGGTAGTACATGCTTGTCGCAGGGGGCAACCCAGAGTAAAAAAAGAAAGTAGGAGGCATTTAAACAGTCTGATATCTGGAAGAGAACTGTGGAGCAGAGAGAACAGGGGAGCATACTGTATAATAACACAACTGCTGATCTTTTATTGTTTGAGCGCAGCTGGGTTAAGCAGCCCATTGAGTAGATATACCTTTTGTATCTCACCTCCAACAACATGAGTGCCATTTCAACATGAGCACATCTGTTTTGGATGTATCACTCCTGAATTATTATTAGCAGGTTGAGTGTGCTTTGCTCTCAATGCTCAACAACTCTCCATTAATACTATTCCCAAACAATATGGTAATATTAACCATCTAGATAAGATAACCAGACAACATTTGACCTCTTAATCCAGAATTTTATATATATATATCCACCATATTTTGCAACACAGATGCAATATTTTCTTTAAATGTGTGAGACTTTCAGTTCATTAGCCACTATAGAGGTCATCAGTCGGGTACCGGAAACAGTCGGGTTTCCATAGGGAAATTTATGTATTATTGTTACTGATAATTATTGTTAATTGATGGTATATGCTTTTGTTGAAGTCATCTGTTCACATTAATTCAACTTTTTTTTTTAATAATCGTGTTTAATTACGTAATTATTGGTGAAACCTTTTGCTTCAAATAAAAGTTTTTAATGGTGTGATTCACCTCGTAGCTGGTTGGCTTGGTTCATGGCTTATAACACTTTTTAAAAAATCCCTATGTGAAAATGAATGGAAAAACATTCTTCCAGAACCAACGCCATTGAAAAAGTAGGTAGGCAGTAGGCACTAAGGCAATACATATGTAAATAACTAAGAATAACAAAGTGCAGTAAACAGTAAATCTATCTACACTGCAAACTAGTATGTTTAAGATTCTTATCATAAATTAAAATAATATGATAACAAATACTAGTTTGCAATATAAAGCAAATGTTTTTGTACAGGTAAAATAACTGGAAGAGACCCCGGAAGCCTCGCACATTCAAGATACAAATGGCTGTGACCACTCTTACTTTAAAAATAAGGTGGATAATGTGAAGTCATGTGTTAATTTATCTTGATTTTGGTATCTATACAACACAATTAGTAGCATCCATCTGCATCTTGTAGTAACTTTATATTCAAAGGCATCAAATTAGACATTTACTGTGTGTATTTTTGTATTATACTGTATGATGTCATATCTTTTAATTTAAAAAAAAGCATCAGCCTTCATCACATCAGGCTTTTCCAACGATTTGAAAGCTTAGTAAATCCACCATTGAAGCTGATTAAACTGGGATGTTCCCTCTGACCAGATAACAGCATTTATGTGGCTGAGAGCTACCCTACTTACTAGCTCTGACTAAAATCACTCTTTCTGTCCACAGTGACCCACTATACAAGGTATTTTACAGATTTATGTCAGTGCAACGTAAAGAGATTTAAATAATATATTTATATATCTTTTGAGGGGAAGTTATGTATAGATTTATATCCAGTGTAATTTCATTTATTTGAGGAACATTCTGGAATATTTGAATTTAAACATTTTCTATTTGAATATATATTTAAAATATAATTTATATATGCGATGGCAAAGCTGTCTCCAGTGTCACATGATCCTTCAGAGATCATTCTAATATGCTGATTTGGTGTTCAAGAAAAACAATTTTATTATCATCAATGTTGAAAACAGTTGTTCTGCTTCATATTTTTGTGGAAACTGTGATACACTACAATTCTAAAGTTACTTTTTTTCAACAAGGACACATTGAACAAAGATGAATTTTCTGCAGCTATTACTGTACATTGTGTAATGCGTAACTGATCATTAGACACTGAAGAACCCGAAAAGTGTGTTTGCTTGTTGTGTAACCTCATGATAATGTGTATAAAAATACAAATTTAATTCTGATAATGGTGATGTAAGTGTTGCACTGTAAGTCAGCTTGCACTGACCGGAAAAAAAGGAAGTCTAAATAGGTAATGCAGAGCATATTGTGTAATGTCTGAGCTGTGTGTGGGCTTAATCCTGATACAGTGTTCAGCAACTCAGCACATCTTTACAGCTTTTATCATTTTCTGATGATTGATTCTAATCATTTTTTATTTTCTTTTTTTTGAGGGGTATATATACAGTGGGTACGGAAAGTATTCAGACCCCCTTACATTTTTCACTTGATACACTGTAAAAATTGTCATAATTGTAACTGTAAAAGACTGAAAAATACTAAAACAGTGGACTTATGGATTTACAATGGCTGCAGTGTGCATGATTCTGCTAAGAGACCATAGGGGCTTCCATCCGTCATTTTAGCTTTCAGAAGGGTGCTCGCGAGCCCCCCACCCCGTGACCGCTATTTGCCCTCGATACACACTTCTGCCGAGCCCGGACTGAGTTCCATTACAGACTTCTATCCGACAGTTAAAGCAGCATTATGTCACGAAAGTGTAGACTCAAAGGAAAACCACATCAGTTCCATCTGGTTCCATCTGGGACATGGCCAATAATATTAGTATTTATTTCAGTGTACAAGTATCGAGCATTTCTTCGACACACAGAGAATACAAGGAAATCTCACTCCAACATGCAACTTGATGCTAATGGCAGTAAGACTGAATGAAAAAGGGAAAGAGAAAAAAAAAGAAAAAATTAATTACTAGACTGTCCATTGTCCATTGTCATATTCATTTCCTCGACAATTAGTCACCAAGTGAGTCTCAGCCCCACAGAGGGAGGCTAATTCTAACATGCATGCAGAGTTTATCAAACCTTATCATCGTCCTTGAGAACCCGCAGGGTGGCTCTCCACATCATTCCCTTTGTGAAGCTATTTCATTAAATTAAAAAAATATATATATTTATTAATATAGATATTATTTCAAGTGGAACATCCTCAGCCTTGTGGTGAAAATGCCAGGATATTTGCTCTCAAGATGCGACAAATGCAACTCCCTTTAAAACAGTGATTCGAATATTGTAGGTCTTTCTTAGTGGCAGTGCATTCGCTTTCTTCAGTGAACGAGCTCTAATGAAGGCTTTGAATAGTTCGACTGCAACCTGCAATTCATGCAGCATGGCCGCTGTGCATTATTCACGTGTGCCTATATGTGTTCATATGAGCATCTAAGATGATACGACACTATTTTGAGGACATAATATGCCTCCAGTGGAGAGCTGAGAAGGCTGAGCACTCAAGCACTCAGTCTACAGCCCATACTTAGATAAGAGCTATCAAATGAGGCCAGCATGTCCCCATTTTAAACCCAGCAAGGATTTGCCACGGTGGGCGCGGGATGAAAAGGTGGCTTTGATGTTTACGCCGGCTTGATTTAGTCTCCTTGTTCCTCTCCTCAAAGGAACCCATTACCTCGGCCAAAACCTGCGTACTAGACCTGAAATTTCCCTCTGGTCTATGGCATACATCCATGCAGAATAACAGTTTGACAGCGTGAGACCTCGCAACACAAACATGACACTGAAAAGCCTCGATGGAGCAAAACAAAACAGCATAGTAATGCCCTTTGAATCTCCGAAGAGACCAGTGTGTTGACAAAGCCTCTCCCTCTGCCTAGTTTTCTCCCCTCTCGTCTCATCTCTCTCCATCCTCTCTCTCTCTCTCTCTTTCTCTCTTTCGTTCTTCGCTCCCTCACGCTTTCACACCGATGAACACGCTGTGTAATGATTGCTACATGTGGGCAACAGAAGATATCTCTACACAAGAACAGAGCCACGCTAAACCCGTCGGATAAAGCAGCTTCTCCAGCCTGAATCAAAGAGCTGTCATCTACAACGGCAGTGAACTGTGAAGGTAAAGGCTTCATATTCATATCCCTGATCGATTGTTGCATAATTTGCTCACACTGGCTTTGTGTGTCTAGGATATTTGTCATAGTGTACAGCTCTCACCATCTGTCCTCATGTCATGTCTTCTCTTGTGTAGGGAATTAAGCATAACAAAGCAAAACAGATAATCCATTTGGCTTTCACATTGTAACATTTATGAATGATGGGAAGTTTGCAGTTTATTGTATTTTGTTGTTTTATTTTGTTCCTGGTGTTGTTTTGTGAATGTTACTCATCTGTGTTTGCATAAATGCTAGATTACTTTTTATTAGAAAGTGCAGAAAAAATATAAAGAACATGTACATTAGGGCTGCACGATAAATCGAAATGGAATCGAGATCGCGATTCGACAGAAGCTGCGATTGTCATGCGTATCTTTACGTATGCGTATCCAAATACACCTCGCAGAAGAAACCCAGGAAATGCAGCTGAATAAACAGAAGATTTAACTGCTTTTATTGATTCAACATAACTGACGATATGAAGTGTGTTTGGAGTAAAAATATGTTATTAAATTTGGTATTTTCACATGCTTTCAGATGGAGCAGCATTTACTTCACAGAGCCATAGTGCACTTAGAAGCTATGGAAACAGCTGTCATTATCGCGAACGATTTCTTCGATTTCATAATCGCGCAATAAAATCGTCTGCGATTTTTTTGCG